TTCATGAGGGATATTGGTTTGTAGTCTTTTTTCTTATAATGTCTTTGCCTGGTTTTGGTATCCGGGTAATGCTGGTCTCATAAAAGGAGTTGGGAAATTTTCCCTCCTCTTACGTTTTCTGGTTGAATTCTTCCTTAAAAGTTTGGTAATATGCAGTGGTGAAGGTATTTGGGCCTGACATTTTCTTTGTTGGAAGATTTAAAAGTACACATTCAATTCTTTCTGTACATATAGAGCTATTCACGAAGGACTGGCTACACAATTTGTGGGGCTCAGTATAAAACAGAAATACAAGGCCCCTTGTCAAAAATTATTAAGAATTTTGGTGCTGGCCCATTGGCGCAGCAGTTAAGTGCGCACGTTCTGCTTTGGTGGCCCGGGGTTCGCAGGTTCGGATCCCGGGTGCAGACATGTCTCCGCTTGTCAAGCCATGCTGTGGCAGGCGTCCCACATATAAAGTAGAGGAAGATGGCATGGATGTTAGCTCAGGGCCAGTATTCCTCAGAAAAAAGAGGAGGATTCGCAGCATATGTTGACTCAGGGCTAATCTTCCTCAAAAAAAAATTATTAAGAATTTCAAGATCCTGAAAATGGTCATTAAACCATGCCTGGGGACTGTCTGTGGTATAGGATCCTGTGTGATAGCATGGGACACACGCCCATGGAGCCAGCCCTGCATTCAGGTGATCTATTTCTTCTTGAATGAGCTTTGTAGTTTGTGTCTTTCAAGGAATCTATCCACTTCATCTAGATCCCCAAATTTGTGGGCATAAAATTGTTCACAATATTCCTTTATCATCCTTTTAATATCTGTTGTGTCTGTAGAGATGTCCCCTGTTTCATTCCTAATATTGCTAATTTTTGTCTTCTCTCTCTCTCTCTTTTTTTGCCTTCATTTCTGAAGGATAGTTTTGCTGGATTAGAATTCTGGGTTGACAGCGCTTTAGAGATGTTGTTCCACTGTCTTCATAGCCTTCTGTCATAGTCCACTGTCTTTCATAGTTTCTAACAAGAAATCTGCAGTAATTTGAATACTTGTCTCCTACGCATACTGTCATTTTTCTCTAGCTTAAAAAATATTTTTTCCAATCTTCTTTTCTCCTTATTCTTCAGACTGGATAATTTCTATTAACTTATCTCTAAGTCATGGACTCTTTCTTTTGTCCTCTGCTTTTTGCTACGGGGCCCATAGGTGATTTTTAAAATTTCAAATATAGTATTTTTCAGTTCTAAAATTTCCATTTGGTTCTGTTTTTGTGGTTTCTATTTTCTGCTGGGAACTTCTGTCTTTGCATTCACTTCAAATGTGTTTACTTCTATCTCATGGAACATAATTATAACAGTGCTTTTTCTCTGTGTGATAATTCCAACAACTGTATCATCTCGGGATTGGCGTCTGTTGATTTTCTTTCCTCTGGAGAATTGGCTGCATTTTCCTGGCTTCTTGAATGTCAAAATAATTTTAGATCATATCCTGGGCATTTAAAATATTGTGCTGTGTAGAGTATCAGTCCTGCTTAAATCCTCTGGAGAAATTTCAGATGGGTTTTGTTTGGTTTTAGCGGGAATCAGCCTAATTAGGTTCGGACTGAAAGTTCTTCTGTGGGCAATGGTTCCACACGCAGCTCAGCTGCCCAAGCTTTTGCTTGCTGCTTTGTGTCTGCTCTGTGCATATCCCGCTTAGGCGTTTGTCTGAAACTCGGGCCATGGTTTCAATCTCATTGCAGTTCTCAAAGTCATTGGCACACCGCTTTGGGTCTCTCATGCACATACAGCTCCAGGGAGAGCCCAGGACTTGTGTGGATTTATGCACAGAGGGATCCCCTCCTCCAACTTTCCTCTCCCCCGTCTGCTTTCTTTTACAGGTGTCCCTTTTCCTGCTCCCTCCGGTTAGAAAGATGAGCTTTCTATTGGAGTCTTAGCTGGTCATGCTGATGGTTCACAGCCCCACAACTGGAGCCGACCCTCAGCTCACAGCTGTGTACGCAGAAGGAAAAAAAAGACAGGGGTCACTGCTTCGTGCTTTGTCCTTCTGCTACAATCTACCTGGTTTTGCTTACTTTTCAGAGTCTTCCAATCATTGCTTTTAAATTTTATCCAGAGTTTTTAGTTGTAATCAGTGGGAGAGACAGGCTCTAATCGGCTTCCTCCAACATGGATGGAACTGGAAGTCGACTTGATTCTAACAGGACCCCCTGGCTGTTTTTGAGGACAGACTGAAGGAGGGTGAGTGGAGAAGCAGAGAGCAAGAGTGATGGCAGTTTGCCCTCAGTGGTGGCCGTGGAGGTGGTGAGAAGCGGTTGGATTCTGGATATCATTTGAAGGCTAAAAGGACAAGATTTGCTGATGGATTACATGTGGGGATGTGAGAGAAAGAGAGGGAGTAAGGATGACACCAAGGCTTTTTTTGGCTTAAGCAACTGAACAGAATTGCCATTACTATGGGGGGGAGCAGCATAGGAAGGGAAGAAGGAAGATGAGTTTGTTTTTGGACATGTTTAGTTTGAGATGCCCATTCGATACACACACGGAGATGTCCATGAGCAAACTGGATATACCAGCTTGCAGTTATTGGAAGGTCTGGGCTGGAACCATAAGCTCAGGGGTTCCTGGAATAGGGAGGGCATTGAAAGCCACAAGACTGACTGAGAGAGATCACCTACAGGGTAGCATGGAGAGGGAAGAGAAGAAATCTGATGACAGGAGGTGAGGAGTCCAGTGTTGGCATGTCTGTTGCAAGAGTTTGGAAGCAATACCGTCCAGGGGGCACGTGTCAGTCAGGGTCCCATGAGGGGACAGTGGCACACAGTAACTTGAACAGGGAAAGTTTCATATGGATAATATCAGGGGTTGGAGTGATGAGGGGCTGGCTAGTGAGAAGCACAGAGAACTCTAAAGAGTATACAGATGACGATGTGAGGAACAGCCACTACCCCTAGGGCTGGGATCGAGGCCCCGTGGAAAGGCCACAGCTGAGGTCCAGACCTCGTTGGGGAGGGCACAGCCAGTGCTCACTGGATTCTGGAGAAGCCATGTGGTGCCACACCAAATGAGCTTGCTGGAGGTCTTCCATCCAGAACTGACCTAAAGCCCACCCTCTAGGCTGCCGGGGAAAGCTTTTCACAAGGAGGTGTCTTGCTGGAAGCCCTCTGCTATGAAACTGCCCCAGAGGGATGCTGAGGGAGCTGCTAGGTGCTGCTGCTGCTGCTGTGCACTGCAGGGGCCTGATAACACAGAGGCCACCTGTGCTGCAGCAATCAGGTGCTAGAGAAACCGCTGAGCGAGGGCACTGGAAGCAAAGTCCCCTACTCCCGTGAGGTCTCTCCAATGTCTATGGAAATGCCTACTGACAAGGCTTAATGTGCCAACTGGCAAAAGAAATTATTTAAAGGGATCAGCTCCCTTTCCACAGAGTAGGCAATAAGGGTGAATTTGGAGTGGAGGCAATAAATCGACAACTAGCACAGGCAGACGTGGGTCTGGCTGAGGAGACGCACCAAGGCCAGAAGGAGGCAGCCTTGATGTTGCCACCACCTGAGGGATGTGTGGGACTTTGCACACGGGAGATGAGCTGGGAAGCCAGGAGCCTCTGGAAGCGGGAGGGCAGGTGGTTGGTGAGTCCAGGGTCGGGCAGGCCTTAGGCCGTGAGCAGAGGAACCCTGTAAGATCTCAGGTTGCTGGCTGAGGCCTGGGCAAGGCAGAATCTATAAAGACGGAAGATGGGCTTCCTCCTTTCTAAGAAGGAGCAAGCTGGGCATGATCTCTCCAACCTCTTGGTTTCTGGGCACACTGTTGCCTCTGCCCGGGACACTTCCCTTTGCTTAGTAAGGCTAATTCCTTATCCTTCACATCTATGCGGTGACATCACATCCTCCAGGAAGCTTTTAAGGATGCCTACATCTGGGTTGGGCCTCCTCTGTGCACAGCAGCATTGATTCTACTCTTCTTTTTTTTTAAAATTCTTTTTTTTTTGTAGGTAAAGATTCACCCTGAGCTAACATCTGCTGCCAGTCTTCCTCTTTTTTTTTTTTTTCCATGCCCAAAGCCCCAGTGCATGCTTGTATATCCTAGTTGTAAGTCCTTTTGTGTGAGCCGCTGCCACAGCATGGCAACTGGCTGATGGGTGGTGTGGTTCCCTCACCAGGAAATGTACCTGGGCTACTGAAGCGGTGAATGTCAAACTTTAACCACTAGGCCTTCAGGGCTGGCTCACATTGATTCTACTCTTAACACAGCAATTAGTGTATCAAGTCATAAATGCTTGTTTACTGGCATGTCCATCAGGCCTGAGTCTAAGCTCTTTGAGGGCAAGGACCCAGTCTTACTCTCTGCAGTTTCCCAGCATCATGCTTGGCTAATACAGCAAGTGCTAATCAAGCGTTTGTTGGATGAACGAGTAAAGGGTGAGAGGCCGAAAGCGGGGTGCATGGTGGGGGTGGGGAAGGCAGGGGGTGGAAATGCATGAGCCCATCACCAAGGGCTCATATGGCACATTGAGAAGTTTGGGCTACTTCTGGAAGGCAATAGGGAGCCACTGAGGGCTCTAAGCAGAGGAGAGCTATCATCAGTTTTCTGTGTGAGAAAGACCTCTCTAGCAGCATCATGGTGAATGAGTTGGATGCGGACAAGAGTGGAGACAGAAAGATGAGGAGGCGCCTGCAATGATCCCAGTGGAACTGGGTAGGGGGAGGTGGGACCTGGGGAACAGGTGGAAGGGTTTCCCTTGGTCAGGAGGAGGGTACCTACGGGGTGTAGGGCCGTGTCTGGAGAGAAGGTGGCTGCTCAGCCCTTGTTCAGAGCCTTTTCCTGTGCCTCCTCTCCCTTGCTGAACTGTGAGCCCCTCTGGGGAGGGGCCTGAGCCCTCTTTCCTCAGCGCCTCCCCGGTGCCCAGGACACTAGCCTCTGCCCTTTGCAAGTCCCCAGTGGGGTGGCCTGGTGAGTGTAGGAGGCAATCTCTCTCCTTCCCAGTGTGATCCAGAAGGACAGACCGGAGTCCTAGCGATGTGAGCTTGGCAAGTTTATTGAAAACCCAGGAACACAGAGAGCAGTACAAACAGGCCCCTCACCCACCCCAGGCCTTCCTGGAGGGTACAGACAGAAACCCTCCGGCAGCAGCCAGGGCTGGGCCTCCCGCACACCACAACAGGGCGGGGCCGCCCGAGCGTTGCAGAGCCCACCTCTCCACCAGCACGCCACCCGCCTCGTGGACACACATGCCAGAGTTAAGCCAACAACCCAGGAAGAGAAGCAGCCAGGACATACGCCGCTCGGAGAAGAACCATCTCAGGGGACTTAGGGATCCTTTGGGCCACCGAGGACTGTGGGTCCTTCTGGGTCAGGAAGAGAAGGAAAGAACCTTCTCCTGCCAAGGAAAGGAAGAGGAAGGAAGCAAAGGACAGTGGGCTAAGGGTGCTCGCGGTGTGGACGGTCAACTCTCCAGTTTCCAAGTTGCTCCAAAGCCATGGATGGTGGTGGTGCCCAAACACATTCTTTTTGGCTTTGAACGGTTCCTTTTTCCCCTGGCGCCCTGATTTTGGTAATTGTATTGAATCTGCATTTCTTGAGGCTGTTAGCTGGATGGTGGGGAGTGATCCAAAGGAAGGAAATTGGGAGTCAGGGAGAAGCCCGTCTAGGGGGTGCTGTGGATGGAGTGCTTAGCTGGCGACAAAATCCCCCCAGAGGATGGTGGCCAGGCAGAGCAGCCCTTGGGGCGGGGAAGGAGAGCTGAATGTGGCTTCCTGGCAGGAGTGGGGGTAGCTGGAGACCCCTCGGGCTCAGAGTCCAGGCGCTTTGGGGACAGAAGCAGGAGACATTGAGCTGGTTCTTCTCTGGGTGGTGGCTGGCTGGGGCTTGCATCTCAATATTTGGTTCTGCGTGAGGTGGTGGTGGTCACGAAGCGGACGCTGGAGCTGCGGCTGCTGCGGCCCCCGCTACAGCTGCTGAAGCCCCCCTCGGTGGGCAGCGGGCAGGGGACACTGGGGGCGCAGGCGTCGCCCACCAGCACCGAGCACCCCCGGGAGCCAGCACTCAGCAGGTCACCACTGGACCGGATGCTGCTGCCGCTGGAGAAGGTGAGCCCACTGCGCGAGAGGGTGGAGCTGGTGACTAGGGACTCAGGCCCGCATAGCACGCCGCCCCGGGAGCTGCTCACGGCTGCGGGAGGAAGAAACCATCAGTGGGGCTGCCATGTCCCCATGCTCCCTGCTGCGGGGGAGGGGAGGCAGGACTGGTGGCCCCAGGGGGTCCTTATTTCTACACAGTCAGTGCCTACTTTCCCTTCTCTTGTCTCGGTGCCTCAAAGGCTGTGACTCCATAATGTCAAACACTCAGATTAAAATGGAAGAATTCACCCAATTCCCCAGGTGTTTGCATACAGCTATCTGCTGACTATCATTTATTTGTGGCTGGGTGGTCTGAGGGAGGCGTGAGCTGGACTTTCCAGACAGCTGGAGCAGTAGCCCGGGTAAAGCCCCGGGCTTCTCTCTCAGTTATATCGAGCCCCTTGGTGTTCCCCACGTTGCCCCTCCAAGAGTCCTCGTCAGTTCTGTTCAGCCGCTGATAGCTCTGCTCTGTAGCCCTGTGGTCTCTACTGGGCACACCTCCATGCCTCGGGACCCTAATCCGACTAAATTTCGCTTAGACATGCCCCGCCTGTGGAGGGGCCCCCCTCTTCTTCCCAGAATCCTTCTCGCCACCTGTGACCTCCACTCAAGCTTGACCTTCTGCAGAAAGCCATTCCTTGCGGCTTCCCCCTCTCTGTGGCGCTGTCCTCTGACCACATGAAGCTCTGACCATCTAACCACCCAGCTTAGGCCTCAGTTCCACGACACATCTGCATATATTTGTGATTGGGGTCAGAAATCTGGGTTTGACTTCTGGCTGTGCCACTGACTAGCTTTGCGACTTCTGGCAATTCACGTATTTTCTCCGAATTAGCAAAAGGGAGATGCACCAATGCCTAGGCACCCCCCCCTGCCCCCGACCCCCGGGCTCTGAGGATTAGGCAGACAGTGGATAGGACTCATCTTATCAAGAAGACTGTAATTCTAGGGAGCAGGGCTGGGGCTCGCCTTCTCTGTGTCCCCACCCGGCAGTGCCCAGCACAGCATGCTCTGCCTGGCAGCAGCCGGGGGACTTCTGCTCAGCCTTGTCCCATCCCTCGCCATCTCAGGGGGTGGGTGTCGGGGAACTCCTTGGCACAGGCCTTTCACTTCCTTCCCTGGCCTTTGCCCTTGAAGGGCAAAGCCACTCAAAGCAAAAAGGCTGCCTCTCTTCCGGAACCCTCTCCCACCAATAAGCCTGAAAACCCTCGCCATCGCTTAGCTCTGGGGAAGGCGGGCTCTGCGGAGATCTCAGACCTGGGCTAAGGGGATGCTCCCCGTCCAGGGCCCAAGGTGGTCCCTGCTCCCCTGACTGTCACAGCCAGCCCAGCCATGGGCTCCTGATCCCAAGGTGGGCCTGAGTTTAAAGGAAATTGGAAGGGCTCCAGGAGATAAATGGGAAGAGGAAAAGACTTAAGTTTCTTACATATGTTTACTGGTCCAACACCTTCGCAGATCCTGGAGAGAGAAAGAAACAAGTCAGCTCACAGGGGGGGTTCTTCCCTGGAAACCTGCTTGCTCTCAGAAGGGCTTCTCCGCTGAGTGGACAGTGTGGACCACTGGCTCTCACCCCTGGCCATACAAGCTTCTGGGGAGCTTTGAAAAACTACGTGTTCCTAGACCCTACCCCAAAGCTGTTGAATCAAGATATTTCAGGAAGTGTGTTATTACTATTATTTCTAATCAGCTAACCAATCAAGAAAAACTCCTTAGGATTCTGGGGCAGCCTGTCCTCAAACTTGGGTTCAGCAGGCACAGACCTCCAGCATTCTTCTAAAACCCTGCCAAGGGCAGAAAAGCTACTGTCACCTCCAGAGACCGCTTATTTCAGAGATTCACCTGGGCCCCTCCCCCACTTAGTCTCTTGGGGTGTCTGAGTCTGACCCCTAGCCCTCCCGCTGCCCTGAGAGCGCTCACCGGATCTCCTCGCCCTCCAGCAGGCGCCTGTAGGTGGCGATCTCGATGTCCAGGCCCAGCTTGGCGTTCATGAGCTCCTGGTACTCGCGCAGCTGCCGCGCCATGTCCTGCTTGGCCTGCTGCAGCGCGCCCTCCAGATCTGCCAGCTTGCACTTGGCGTCGTTGAGGGCCGCCTCACCCTGCTGCTCCGCCTGGGCCACCGCGGCCTCCAGCTTGACCCGCTGCCGGGGGAGGGGGCAGTTGGCAGGTGGGCTTTAGCAGGGACTAGGGGAACCCCGGGGGCGGGGGGCTGGGGGAGAGGCTAGAAACACTGGCCTCTGTTGGTGGGGACACAGCCTGGTGCCAAGTCAGGGATGGAGCCCACGGTGGCTGCTTTCTGTGGGATTGTGATCCTATAGTTCGAGGTCGCTAGCGGGTAGGGCATTGCTTTTCTGCTGTTTCCATCCCCACTGATTTTATACTTCCTGATTTCTGCTACTCCGAGACCCATGGGGTCCAGAGAGTAAAGCTATTCTTTCTGCTTCACCTGCCTCTCTAAGTTGGCCCCAGCCTTTCCTTCTATATGGGAGACTCCTTCCCTTTCACATTTTCCTCCTCCAGGAAGTCTTCCTGGACTAATCCCTCCATTCCTTTGATCCTGGGTCTTGGTGGTCTCCCCATGTCTTCAGACTTGGGGCTCCCCAAAGCTTGGGGGCCCTGCCTGTCCTCCCTTTGGGGCTTTCTCTCCTCTCCTTTGCCCACCTGAGCCTTAGCGTGCTCGATCTCCGCCTTCAGCCGCTGGATCAGGCGAGTCAGCTCATTGATCTCATCCCGTGTATTGCGCAGGTTGTCACAGTGTTGGCCAGCTGTCACCCGCATCTCTTCATACTGGGGGGGAGAGAAGATGTTCCGAGGTTTCAAAGGTTGGGTCAAGACTACATCCCCAACTGAGTTGGGGGCCTCAGACCTTCACTGAGTCCACTCCGCAGTACTCGAGTCTTACCCAGGGCTGCTACACCCCTTCCCAGCGCCCCTGCCCACCTTGGTCTGGTACCAGGCCTCAGCATCAGCCCGACTTCGCCTGGCGACCTCTTCATACTGGGCCTTGATTTCGGCAATGATCCCGTCAAGGTCCAGGTCTCTGCTGTTGTCCATCTTCACGATGACCGATGTCTCTGAGATGTGTGACTGCAGCAACTGGATTTCCTGTGTCGGAGGATCAGCAAGAGAGAGGGGCTCAGAATCCCCTCAGTGTCCAGGACTCTGTATAGGGTCCCCAGGATGCAGTGTCAAGAGCAGAGAGCATTGCTCACTTGTTCAGACCAAAGCAATGGAGCAGACTATCCAAACCCAGGGCAAAGAAAGAGATGACGGAGAACCATTTCTCTTTGACTTTAAACATTTCTTATATACTTGGAGACCTCGCTTTAACCCCCAACTTTGCTTAGGTGACTATTAAGGCCAGGCGGGCCTGGGGCCTCGGAGGAGGGATGAGAGCCATGCTGGGGCTTAAACTCCTCTTTGGCTTATCTTCAAAGTGGCTGTGCTGGTCATAGATCATTGAGAGCTGACAATATTTTAGGACATGGTGGTCTAGGAGTTCCTATATCCCAAGTTCTTAATAGAACTGAGGGTCTTGGAACTGGCCTGTGAGGTGAGGGCTCCAGAGGAGCTTTTTCAGCCTTTCCACTCAGAGCCAGGCATTCAACTCTGGCAGGGTCTGCCCCAGACCAAACGGACCACTTACGGAGCAAAAGAGAGCAAGTTCTTTTGGCTAATCAGGTCAAATGCAATTTTTCTTATATCTCCTAGCAAATCGGTTTTCCAGAGTCTTCTCAGCAGATAGGAAGTCTAGACATTCCTAGACTCCAGTCTTTGATTGGCCAGCAAGGAGCCGGATCATAGATCCAAGGAGTATATTCATAGACCTGAGTCAGGCTGCTGAGAAGCCTGCTTACCTCACTTCTCCACCTGTAGACACATCGACACATAGGGGACATGGATTTGGGTGGGAGGCAAGATGCATGACACCAAATGTTAGAAAACAGGCTAGTCCAGAGGAAGCCCCCCGGGTGTCCGGGCCAAGCTGATCTCCTTGGATGGCTCAGAGGGGAGGAGCCCTTACCGCCATGTAGAGGGTTTTCAGGAAGTCGATTTCCTGAATTAGGGTGTCCACGTTGGCCTCTAGGTCAGCCTTGTTTAAGAAAGCTGCATCCACATCCTGCATGAGAGAGAGAAGGATGAAGTGCCATTACCCGTGCACTACTTCACCGTCCCCCATTGGCAGGGTCCAGAGGTGGGTGGGAAGATCAGGCCAATCCCCACAGGGCCAGGCCAGGCTTTGGGATGGGTGGTGAAGGCATTGGGTGGAAATGCAGCTTAGTGACTCCTGTTCTTCTCCCCACTACAGCTTGAAAACTCCCCCAGGGGCTGCTGGACATTTCCTGATGCTTATTTAGAGGTGAGGAAAATCTGGATAATCCAAGACTCTTAAAATGTCACTCTTCAGACCTCTGCTTCACGAAGATCTGATCCTAAATAATCTGAGGTTGAATCAGAACTTCTAAGGGAGCCTGTTGTGCTTTTAGGGGTTCCACTCTGTGTGAGTGATCCCAGACTCCACAGGGCTTCCCGGGCAGTCTCCTGGGGTGTCTTGAGAACATTTGCCTGTCTGGAGGAGGAGTCTAATCGGCTCTGTCGCTCTCCCTTACCTTCTTCAGAGCCACAAACTCATTCTCGGCATTGGCGCGGAATCCTACTTCCTCTTCATACCTGGATGACAAGGATTAAGAGAGTGGGTTCTTGCCCTGAACTGAGAGCCAATTACTCCCAACCCCACAGTGAGCCTCTTCTGCTCTCTCTGCTCCACCCAGAAGCATGGCGCCCTGTTGCCACCTATACGCTATCCTCCGCTCTGTCCCATCTTTAAGATCTTTATGAGCCAGTGGCCCTCAGTTTCTCCAAATCCCTTTTACTTTCTCCAACTGGATGTGGGGGTCTGAAAATCTGGACCACTGCTATGCTCCTCTGCTGGAGAAGACTTAGGGTCATTGTGCTTGACCATAGAGGAGGCAGGACCCAACTCACTGCTGAACCTGGGCAGTGTTCTCAAAATCAAAGGGTTCCTTTTTCTGGGGTCAACTACCCATTCCCACAGGCAGGATTAGGGACAAACAACGCCCAATTGCAAATCTCCTTTCTCCTCAGGACCCATGGACGGCCTTCTCCTCCTCCTCCACACATCACTGCCCCCACCCCTGTCTCCAGGCTGGGGACTGAAACCCGCATTCAACCCTGATCCTTCCAGCTCCTCTCCTCTGAGCTTGGCTGCTGCTTTGGGGATGAGCCCATGCCCGTCCTTGGTCAGGGCAGTTAGATGCCACTCACTTCTTCTTGAAACCCTCAAGGACATCTTGCAGGTGGTTCCTCTCAGCCTCGAACCGGGCCTGTTCGCTGGTCACTACGTCCAGCTGCCTCTGCAGGCTGGTGATGTAGTTCTCGAAGAGGGGCTCCAGGTTGCTCTTGGCACATTTCTGCTCTTGGAGGAAGCTCCACTTGGTCTCTAGGAGCTTATTCTGCTGCTCCAGGAACCGCACCTAAATCCACGGGGGCAAAGAAATAGTGATTGAACAGCTTGATAGGGTCATCTACATATTGACCTGTACTTGAGTTGGCTAGAGATGACTCTCAACCGTGTGTTGACATCGTTCTCTCCAGTAGGAGCTGGAAGAGCAGGTCTGTGAGTCCTCCTCATGCTCAGCCAGGATTAGCTACAAACAGAGGCTTTCAAACCAAAGCACTTCAGTACCATTTCCCCTTCTACCTTCTGAGAAGGGTATAAGCCAGTTCACCGGGAAGTTGGAGAGACTGATTCTGCCTGGGCTGGGGTTTTGCCTCTATCTAAAAGCAGATGTCAACAATCCCTGGCAGGAATGAGGAGCAGAGTAAAGTACATATGGGGTGGGATGCGGCATTAGGGAGTGGGAATTCTCAGCTCGTAAGTCATCCCCACCATCCCAGATATTCCGTCAGCTGAGACTTGTAGGCTTGGAGGAGAAACTGGAGAGCATTTGCTCCAACCCTCGTTTAGAGATGAGGAAACTGAAGCTCACAAAGGTTAGTTTCTATTCTCTGACACAATCACCACATTCCTGCCCCACGGAGACGTGGTTTGTGGGACGTCAGTTCCACATCACTGGTCTTCTCATCAGCCTGAAGATCAGGGACTACCCGAGGTGGTGCCTAACTCTTTCCCTCATTCCAGGCAACTTAGCTGAATCTTGGGCGATTAAATTCTTTGTTTTGTACAAAAATCACTCAGCTCCATTCACCACTTTCCTAAGCCTGAACAGATGTGGCCACCCAACCTCAGAAACTATGAAAACCTCAAGAAAAGCATGAAGACCTCAAGGATAAAACCTTTAAACATATCCCAGCCAACACCTGGCCAAAGTCCTAATGTCTCTAGCCTGTTTGGGGGATATTTCTAAGTGACTAGGTGGCGGGTCTTAGTTTGTCCGGAGACCCTCAGACTTGGATGGGTGTTCCGCTTTCCTCCAGAAGACACAACCACTGTCTTAGTCTATCCCACTGCACAGCCTCTCCTCAGGCTTGTCCTTGCTCTGCAGCAGAGCCACCCAGAAACCATACTGCAGCGCCTTTGGTTGACACCTGAAGGATCTGGGGTCAAGGTCAATGTCCCAGCACCCCAGTACATTTTAGCTCTCATCATCCAGATCCAGAGACTGAACTGTCATAGGTACCTTGTCGATGAAGGAGGCAAATTTGTTGTTGAGGGTCTTGATTTGCTCCTTCTCATCCCTCTTCACCCTCTGGGCGTTGGGGTCAATCTCCAGGTTGAGGGGGGTCAGCAGGCTCTGGTTAACAGTCACTGCTGTGATAGATGGAGCCGCCGGGATGCCAAATCCTCCAACTCTGTAGCCAAAGCCAGGGCCGCCGAAGCCATAGCCAAGGCCACTGCCGACCCCACACCCCAGACCAGCACCAATGCCATCACCAAAGCCAAAGGCCACCCCACTGCCAGCACCAAAGCCGACTCCACAGCGGATGGGATGAGGGCCTACAGCCGCTATCCGGGGTGAGCATGATCCAAGGGTGATGACGCTCCGACTGCCAAAGCCGCCGACGCCCCGGAAGCTGGGCCCACTCCTGCAGGAGACAGAGCTGGCCCGGAAGCGGTTCAGGTTGGGGAGGGTCCCTGCTGAGCAAGAGCTGAAGTTGCCCACACGGCGGCAAGAGCTGACTCGGTAGGAGCGGCAAGACATGGTGGCTTCCTGGATGAGAGCAGAGGTGTGATCGCAGAGTGGGGCGAGCGGGAGCTGGGAGTCCTCTGAGGCTAGTGGATCCCTCTCACCCCTTTTATGTGTGTGGGGACCTGAGGACTGGCCCCATAAAAACGAAAAAAGCCATTTGGCAGCATTTATGAGCTTGGGGAGTTAGCAGAAACTCTTCAAGCCTATAACCTCCTCAGCAATGAGCTAATCACAGACACACCTATACTCCTCAGGATCAGGGCTATAACATCAAACCTATAAACATTAAAAACACATAAACACATAAATATTATGGTCCTATTGTTTCCCACAAGTCCACCACAATTGCCATTATGGGGACGTTAATTTGCTTTAGCCATAAATCCAATAGATTTTTTCACTGCAAGTGTGGCTAACCACCAGAAAGTTAGGGTGGTAACAGCTCCAGCAAGAGGCTTGCAAAGGACGCATCTACAGATAGAACCCCCTAAATAGATAGAGGGTGCGCAGGAGAGGGACAGGGCCTGCACAGCTCTGAGTAAGAAATGATACGGTGAGAATACAGTTTAATGCATCTCTGTAGATGGGTTAAAAAATCCAGAAACCTTTGGCAGTGTTTCATCTATCCTCCATGAGCTTCTTTGGCTGTTTATGTAAGAGTCGAATCTTCAGTAAAGCTCTTTGGGTTACTGTAGACACATCTCTGATTTGAGACACTCAAAGGAGATTCATTCATTCATTCACCAATCATCAGGTGCCTACTCTGTCCCAGGCACTGTGCCTGGTACTGAGGGTACAGAGATAAAAACGAGAGTCTCTATCCTCATGGTGGTGGTGGAATATTAATCCAGAGGACTTCTGCCAGTCAACACTTTTGGGGCATAATTTGAGGCCAAAGCGTGTCAATAATTTGGCCATGTGTCTGTGTGAAAAGTTAGCCACATGATTTTGAGCACCCCACATACACTTTAGGGCTGATCTGTAGTCCAGCCTACGTAGGTTCCTTGAATTGTTGATGAATCGTTGGTTAGGATAGAGAGACAAAAAGCAGATAGAAAATGCAAAGTTCTAAGTAACTGGGTATTATCAATATGGCAGGCCGCTGTTTACCTTTTCTGTTCTAGTGTGTGATGTGGCTCGTCCCACCTGTCTTGTGCCTGGGGAGCTCGTGTTTGACTGGACCCTTGGAAGGGGATGAGTACTTTGGATCAGCTCACATCTTCACTATTTCCTTCCTTCCCAATCTCTATAACTTTTATCTCCTTTTCTTGTCTTATTGCATTAGCCAGGACTTCCAGGACAATGTTGAAAAGCAGTGGTGAGAGGGGACCTCTTCGCTTAGTCCTGATTTCTTGAGAAAGCTTCAAGTTTCTCACCATTAAGTATGATGTTAGTTGTAGGTTGTTTGGTAGATACTCGTTGAGGAAGTTTCCCTCTGTTCCTGGTTTACTACTATTTTTCATAGACCCACCTATCAGGTGTATGTCTAAAGGGAGAAGAAGTAGAAAAATGATATTAAGGGAAGACTGCTTGTGAAGGTTACCGGTGACCTTCATGTTGCTAAATTCAGTGGTCTGTTCTAGCCCTCATTTAACTAATCAGCACTGTTTGACTATTTTACATGGCTAGTTGATCATTTCCTTTTCCTTGGAACACTCTCTTTTTTTGGTTTCTAGGCATCCTGCTTTCCTGATTTTCTTGCCATTACTGGCTGCTTCTTTTCAGTCTTCTTAGCCAGTTTCTCCTCATATCCCCAACCTCTCCACTCCACAGCATCCTTGGGCTCAGCCCCTGTACCTGTTCACATCTTTATCTACACTCTTTTCCTTGGTGACATCGTACAACCTCATGACTTTAAATACTATCTATCCACTGATGACTGCCAAGGCATATTTCCATCCTGGACATTCCTTCTGTGCTCCACATGTATATTTTGATCAACATTTCTATTCGGATGTCAAATAGGCATCTCAACCTTAACAGATCCAAAACTGTTCTCCTAATTGTTCCTACTAAGTTTGTTCCACTTGCCACTATCCCTGCAGTAGCTTAGGCCAAAAATCTGGGAGTCATCCTTTATTCCTGTTATTCCATATCCCACATTCACTGCACTGGAAAATCCTACCATCAAAAGGTATCTGGACTCCTACTGCTTCTCACCACCCCCACTGCTACCACATTGGCCCGAGCCCCTCCTTTCTCATGGGGGCAGTTCAAGTGACCTCCAGCCAGGTGCCCTGCCTCCTCCTTTACCCCTTCAGTCTTTTCTTAACACCATAGTCAGAGTGATCCTTTTAAAACACGTTAGATCATGTCATTTCCGTGCTCGAACCCCTCCAGGGGTTTCCCATTTCACTCAGAGTAAATGCCATACAGGACTCGACAGAGTCTCTCCCCCCTCCCTTCACCTCTATCCATCCCACTGTCACCCCACCCTAGCCACCCTGGGCGCCTGGCTGTCCATCAGATGGGCAGGAGAACTCCTGCCCGGGACGCTTTCCCACCTGTTGGTTTCTCTGCTGGGAAGTGTTTTTCCTCAGATAACTGCAAGCCCAGGTCCCTTAATTCTTCCAGGTCTTCGTTCATACGTCACCCCCTATTTAAAGCCCCTCCCCCATACACCCCACATCCCGCTCCCTGCTTCTTCCCCTTCTTAGCAGTTCTCGCCATCAGAGAGCCTCTCCTGCCCGCTTGCTTGTTCCCTGACTGCCCTCCCCGGCTGGGGCACAGGCTCCAGAAGGCAGGCACGGTTGTGTGCTTTGTTCTTCCTGTGTTCCCAGCGCTCAGCAGAGCGGGGCCACGAGGTGGGCGGGCTATGTAGCTTTCCTGAATGAATGAACACACTGCAAAGATTAAAAGCAGGAGGGAAAAGGGGAGAAAGGAGCAGGGACGAAAAAGAAGAGGAATTCTGGCTCTAGCTTTCACAGATCTTTCGGGAAGAGAAGTCTCTAGTCTCCAAAATGGAGAGGAACGGGCCTGAGGATGATCGCGGTGCAGGAACTCAAGTGCTCACAGAGGACCAACCCTCTTTGCCCTCCAGCTCTGGCCTCTTGGGCTGCTGGACGAAAAGGCATCCCCTCCCCCAACGCCAGGCAAGGGGATCCAGGAGACTGGGAAGGGGCCCCAAGGCCCCTGTGGAGGTGAAGGGGGAGGGGAGCAGGAGGAACTCCAGTGAGTGGAGTGTGCCTGGCCGAGGACAGAAGAAGCGACACCGCCCTCTGAGTCTCACGGACCGGGTTCAATCCCAGTTTTCCCACCTGCCAGCAGGGTGACCTTGGACGGCAGGGTGGTGTCAGGGCTCTGCTCTGGGCACAGGCGATAAGGGGGCTTGTCTGAGAGCATTTAAACACAATAATACAACCAACTGAACATCGGTCTGCTTTTCATTATCACTGTGCACCAGCCACTCTGAACAATGTTAGTCAGCAAACGCTCCCCTCCACGGTACATGATGACCTGGGGGAGCTGCTTAACTTCTCTAAGCCTCAGCTTCCTCGTCTGTAAAGTGGAATGATACCTACGTCGAGGTACAGTCACGCGCCGCAGCACGACACTTCTGTCAGCGAGGGACTGCACATACGACAGTAGACCCATTAGTACCGTGCAGCCTAGCTGTGCAGGAGGCTAGACTATCCAGGTTTGTGTGAGTACACTCTATGATGTTTGCACAACGACAAAATCGCCTAACGATGTGTTTCTCAGAGCGTAGCCTGTCATTAAGTGAGCCACGTCTGTACAGTGAGGATTAACTATGAAAGTGTTTGCAGTGCACACTGCGTGGGCCTGGCGTGGTTCTTGTTGTCCATTTCCTCCCCTCGCTCTCTTTCCTCCCTCCCTCCCTCTCTCCTTCTCTCTGCCCCTTCCCCTCTCTTGTGCACAACCCTCCCTTCACTTCTAAGCAGTGGGCCCTGTTCCCCTCCGGCACCCCACCTCCCTCCTGAGCCCGCAGCTGTGGCATTCATTACCCATCAGCCATTCCTGGGGCTGTCCCTAACCTGTCTCGGTTTCCTCCAACCCTGACCAGGCTGGGCGCGGTGGGGGTAATTGGGACCAGTCAAGCGTAACCCCTGCTCTGGGATGAGGCACCACCATCAGCAGTTTTCAGTTCTGAGGCATTATTTCGCCAGGTGATGCATAGCACCGTCACTTACTAGGGGTGGCAGGTGGGGAGGGGGGAGGAGTTGCCCTGGAAACACCGGGTGGAGGTTTTGCTGCCCTGACAGTTTCTTCTTCCTGTTGTCACCCCCAGATCTGCCGGCTGCGCCCAGCGACAGGCTTCACCGGGCCACCGCAGGACAGCTGCTGGCTCATGGGGATGCTGTCTGCCTAGCGGGGAGGAGGAAGAACTGCTGACGAGGGGAGGGGAGGGGAGGGGAGGGGCGGGGCGGGGAGGGGAGGGGAGGGGAGGGGAGGGGCGGGGAGGCGGGGGTGGGGGCGGGGCCCTGTCCTGGTTGGTTAAGCAGCGTCTGGGAACACCGGGCACAAAGCTGTGGCTGCGAGTGTGTGTGTGTGTGTGTGTGCGCGCGCGCACGCACCCGTGGGAAGGAGGGAGAGTGACAGGAAACCCCAGGTGCTGAGAGAAGGCTTTCCTAAAGGACGCCTTCTTCAGAGTGTTTCCGTCTTGCTCCGGGACAAGTTTGTGCTGAGAGAGGCGCTCAGTGGGAGGTGTTCATGTTGAGACCTGTCTCTGGGGAAGGGAAGCTCCGGAGTCCCCAGAAGGAGGGGGGCGGTGGGGAGAGGCTGAGTCCACCCCTGCGTAGGCCCTCCAGCCGTCTGCCCTCTCGGACGAATGACGCTTGGATGGAATCCCAGCACGTCCCAGGACGGACAAAGTTGTTGAGCCCAGCCCCACCCTTCCAGGCAGGATGATTTTTTTCAGGTTTAACCTAAATTTCTCGCATTGCCCACACAGCCGTCACCTGTCCAGGGTGAAAATCTTGCTCCTGGAACAGGGAAGGTCTGTTTGCTTCAACAGACCTTTTTGGGTGCCGATGGGTGCCCGGTGTGGCATTTAGATGCTGGGGCGGCTGCTGGGGCGCAGCCCTCTCCTTCTCTCAGACTCGGCGATGCTAAGTG